AGTTTGTCRAAGYYGYCRAACCARTCGTATGGAAAAACRCCCTTTCTTAACAACAGTTGTAATTGTTCTCCTTCATAGTAAGTTGTGAGGTTTTTGAAAGATTCTTTTGACAGATTACTTACTAAACTGTCAAGACTGGTTGACATAAATTTAAAGCTGTCAATGAATCTGATGTCACGCTTAACTTCAACCAGCTTGCCTTTTTTATCCTCAAAGGTGTCTACAAGAATCTGTTTTGTAAAACTAATATATTTTTCCTCATTATTAGGTATACAGTTTATTTTACCTTTTGATKTACCAAGGTTCTTRATGAAWAGRTGKSWRTCRTATCCWGATAGATTGTGAAAGATAACTGGAAAGAACTTTGGAATTCTGTATTGAAGGTTRCATTCGTTGTGGGCMGCTCCTCTATACKTYCCTGTAAGGTGACAGTGRTCTAAAACTTTRTCTTCTCCTAATTCACCCTCRCAGATGTGACAGTGAGTRGCATTTTTAWAGKWRRTTKTATCCWTCWKASTCWTMYTAACCTTCTTAGTGAACTTGAACTTATTGTAAATGTCCTTAATGTCCGACTCTAGATTTTTTATAAATATCTGCGGGATATCTTCGTCTGGGGATTTAGCTGTATATCTTACAAGCTCGGATGAAAATATGTTGTCGTCAAAGCACTTAATAAAATAGCAGAAGCCAGATGGTTTGTGCTTCTGGTATTGCTTAGTAAAGCTTCTACTTTCATCTGGGGAGCAGGTGTCTATATTCTCCGTGAAGCTTTCAAAGTCGGCATAAACAACGAAGGGCACTCGCATTTTTCTGTTGAAATTCTTGAATGTTGTATAAAGAGGATTTCCATCTTTATCTTTTGGCATTTCAATCTTAACTTCTTCATTTTTAGAGCAGTATTTAGAATGTTTTTCTAATGATTGTTTGCACCGAAATGAGTTCAGACATCTATAGCATAAAAATCGAGTATGATGAAATTTATCAATTTGAGTAGATACTAATCTCATCATATTCTTTATCCAGCAGTAGTGATTCGTTTCATTGTTTGATATGAGAAGTAAGTTGATTACATGAGCTTCATGTTTCTTACTTATTTTTAGAGGGTATACATCACCTTCATATCCGAAGACGTTAATCGCATATGGGTTTTGCTTTTCGAACTTATCAATCTGTTTTAGTGAGACGGGAAACTCTATTCCTGACCAGTCGAAATTCTCAGAGTTCTCTCTCATTTGTTTATTTAGTCTTTGAGAATCTTTATTCTTTGGAAAAACAGCAGAGGTCACTGCCCATTTGAAACACTCATGATCGTTCTCGTTCTTAACATCAGTGATGATTGCTTTCTTGGATGCTAATTTTGATGGTAGTGGAATAAAGGAACTTCCAGAAAGCGGTTCAAAGGGGTCAATGTTGATATCAAAGTATTCGACTTGGTCGAATTGCCACCCAGAGCCTTTGTTTTGAAATTGCTCAATCAATTCAAGTAGATGATTTGTCATTGTATCGAATAAGTCAGAGAAATCGGTTGACTCTGTTATTATTTCAATGTTGGAATGGAAGTATCCTGAGTTTTCATCAATCTGACCAGTAGCTGGATTCTCTTTTATAAATTTGCAAGTAAAGATAAACTTGACTTTGATAGGCTTCTTTTTTTGGTTGATGAGATCCAGAACTTTTGGTTTGACATTAATGATGAACGTCTTTGGCTCATAGCCTTTCTCTCCATCAATCCTGTAGGTTTTCAGATATCCTCTCAATGCTGTTTGTTTTTCTTTGAGGGTAAATCGTTCGTCTCTCATAAATATACGGTTTACCTTTTCCTTTAGACTGTCGACTTGCTTATTTACAGTCTTTTTGATGGGCTCAGGGACAAAAGATAAAATCCAATCTGCAAACTTGTTTAACTCTTTCTTTACTGAGTTAGCCGCTCTGTTTGCTAAATGTTTGAGTGGTTGAGTGTGGTATCTATTTCGATAACGGGTGGGTTCGAGAATTGGAACATTAATCTCAGGTATTGGCTCATCGAGTATTCTCGATGATGTGTTAGAGACAATATTACGTGGTGGTGGTGGTGGTGGTGGTTGTCTATTATTTAGCACTTCGATGAGTTCGGCTTTACGTAATTTGTAGTACCCTTTGATCCCACGTTCTTTGGCGAGGGCTTTCAACTCTTTCACTGTTCGTTTGTCCATTTTTTATTATAATATCTATTTTTTAGGCCTTTTTTATTTTTGCGCCAGGTGCGCCATATTCCAACTACTGCTTCAAAGATGAAAAAATACAGGATTTTCCGAGGTCAGTACTGAGTTTTTCCTGTTCGCCATTACAGCAGAAACCGTTGCATCGCGACTTCAATGTTCACTAAGGAAATAGTTGGGATTTAGGTTTTTCTGCGACTTGGGGGCGGAGCTTGATACTAATCAGCCAATGATTGAACGAGTTTTCGAAAAGCTCCGCCCCTCAGATTTAAAGAAAGAACAAAATCCAGACAAACTTCAAAACAAAGAGGTCGCGATGCAACGATTTTCGCTGTAATCTGGGCCGAGATGACATCGGTTGGCGGTTTTACGCCATATGACGTCATATGCTTAACCCAGGAACGAGATTATCGATCAGAAATTTAAAACTGGGGGAATGAAGGTTTGAAGCGTAGAAAACAAATCAAACGTTTTTTTAATGTCCCTAATACACTGATACACTTTGCAAGTCTTTACTTTGAGATTTTTCGACTGCCTGACGTTTGAGTCCCAGAACTAAACGTCAGGCAGTCGACTTTTTTGTGAAAAGTCGTCGGAACAACTGTAATTTCAATTAATAGCACAAGAGAAATGGAATAAAGACCGAAATAAGGTAAAATTGGCAGGGGGAGGTGAGGTGGAAATTGAAAAGTGGGTACTGGGAATAGGGTGACCAATCATAGTGGGGAAGTGAAATTTTCTAACCCTAGTGATATTAGACAGGCAAAATATCGTGACCTTCCCCGTCCCCCTTCAACCACCAGACAAAATTTTTATTGTCCACAAGCATCCAGTGAATGGTGCAGGGCCTATAATTGGACCATTCTTTCTTCATTTTGAAGGGATAAGGATAACAAGGATATTTGATAGGCAGTTGATTAGGACATTTGATTCATCTATTCTAAGTATTGCTTACTTTATACATTTGATATACTTTGTTTGTCTTAGTGTTGTTTAAAGATGCAAGGGTAATCGGACTCTATTGTTGTAGGAAGGATTGGATCTGTATGAAATGCAGTTTCAGTATAATGTATGAGTGTAATTGTATATACATGTATATAAAATTATAAATGGATTTATCTTTATGTCATGGCAAACCCAGTCCAACATTACTCATCAGGGGTTGAGATGTTGAACTGTTGCCATTATGATGGATGGCAAACGTGTTTCATACTCCAAGGCCTTAGAGCTCAACCCTACACGCGGCTACCATGGGTAAATCCATTTATAAGTAGGGTGCCAAGTAAATAAGGCGAAAGTGAAGTGTGTTGCAAGACATGCCGGTAGTGATCAAGTCACTGAACCTCTTGTTTTGTGGCCTGTTGACATGTACACACAGGAAGCCCATCGCCAATTATCAAATACACTACATTATCAGACCATTGACTATAACCCCATCACTGGATTGGTAGAGGAGATATCCTAC